AAAAAAAAGGCAGTGTATAACCTTCCTTTTTTCCAAAATTCGATTGCACCCAAATTTCTCGGGAAAACACTTTTTCTTATTAATTGTGGTGTGTAGAATCCAAAACAATTCGTACTTTTTCGATCAGACTTCTCATCAAAAGTTATAGACTAGAAACCAATTTCGAAAGAAAATTCAAAGGGCTGTAACTTTTGAACTAGTAGCCCAATCTTGGAACTGTTTGAAATATGGATTCTACAGGCCACATTCTATAAGAAAAAATTTTTCCGGGTCGATCTGACAGAATTTTTTTTTCGGGCCTCAAAAAAAGGCAGTGTACAGCCTTCCTTTTTTACCGAAAATCGACTACACCAAAATTTCTCGGGAAAACACTTTTTCTTATTAATTTTGGTGCGTAGAATCCAAAACAATTCGTACTTTTTCGATCAGACTTCTCAATCAAAAGTTATAGACTAGAAACCAATTTCGAAAGAAAATTCAAAGGGCTGTAACTTTTGAACTAGTAGCCCAATCTTGGAACTGTTTGAAATTATGGATTCTACAGGCCACATTCTATAAGAAAATTTTTTTCCGGGTCGATCTGAGACAATTTTTTTTTCGGGGCCTCAAAAAAAGGCAGTGTATAACCTTCCTTTTTTACCAAAAATCGACTACACCAAAATTTCTCGGGAAAACACATTTTTCTTATTAATTTTGGTGCGTAGAATCCAAAACAATTCGTACTTTTTCGATCAGACTTCTCAATCAAAAGTTATAGACTAGAAACCAATGTCGAAAAAAAATTCAAAGGGCTGTAACTTTTGAACTAGTAGTCCAATCTTGGAACTGTTTGAAATAATGGATTCTACAGGCCACATTCTATAAGAAAATTTTTTTTCCGGGTCGATCTGAGAGTAGGTACCATGTGACACTTCTTTGCTGTTTCAAATTCAAACGCGTGAGCAAGGACCTTTCTCGATCCTCTCGGGCCTTGCTGCTGCGGCCTTAATGCTAGTGCTCGATATCACTATCTCATCGTACAGTATGTATGAATGTTTGCACGGCTAGTTGGTCTAAGAAGCTTTCTGGCGCTGATGGGTAGGGTAGGGATCAATCTGGCTTTCTCAATTTCAGTTGCGCATATACCTGTTGGAGGTGCTTTTCGCAGTAACGCAATGGTCCGATGACGGGGAAATAGCGATTCTTCCACATTCGTAGAATGGCGCGACTCGCTGTGGTCAGCAAAACGACTCAAATCGAATCAAATACACCGGTAAAAGGGGATAGAAAGAAAATTCTGATTTCGACAAAATTTGGCATTTTTTGAACACAAAAATAACAAATCCAGTTTTTGAAAAAAACATTAATCTTAATCGATTCTATGCAAAAAAATATCTGTCCTTCGGACCTCCATCTGTTCATGTTTTCGTTTACTTTGGACTAAAAGCTGCTATCAAACTGGAATAGACTCCATTATCTGTAGTTACATTATTTAGTTGAGCAAATACATGTAGATAATCATCCGCCCTTTGTTTCAGGTTTTAATAAATGGTGTATGGATGATTATATCTCCAGCCAAAGCAATGCATCATTATCCAACACGCGAAGATAACCTACTAGTATGTTCAACTGATATTGACGCTTCCTACATGATAGCCTTTACATATCCAATACTGCTCATTGTTATATGTACCGTTTACGCTGTTCTCACTAGAAAAATTCCAGAAGCTTTCAACGAATCCAAACATATTGGGTTTACAATGTACACTACGTGTGTAATATGGTTAGCCTTCGTTCCCTTATATTTCGGAACTGAGAACCATGTCGCACTTAGAATTACTAGTATGTCAGTTACAATTAGTCTTTCCGCAAGTGTTACTGTCGCTTGTCTCTTCTCGCCAAAGGTAAGGTCCTCGGTTTTCTCAGCTTTTAACGATTTTTTTTTCAGTTGTACATTATCCTAATTAGACCAGAGAGGAACGTTCGGCAAAGTATGATGCCAATGCGTTACAGCGCCATCAATAAAAGTTCGGGTACTGCGGGATCCGGTAGTATGATGGCGCCTGTTATGGTCACCGCAGTCACGTGCGATCAAAAACAGCAAATTCAGAAACACGTACCGCCCATATTGGGAAGAGATTTATCTGAAAATGAAGGTCAGCGCAACGCACAACCTCCCATGTATTTACTCCCATTTTTGCAGATACCGACACAAGTAATCACCAAACGAGACCAGTAATGATAGACTGTAGTACGTTAACTGATCCACCACCTCCCGCCTATTGCGAGTCCGTTCTGACGAACGGCGAAGAGTACATTCCGAAAATAAACAATAATTGTAATGTAGGAAATGGTCCCCTGGCGTTACTGCCAGGATTACAAATGAAAGACGTTCCGTTATAGCAGGAAGCGAACTCGCGTTCTTCCAGTCTGAATTCACCTCGTAATCCTGTGCAAGTGTAAATTTCACCAAATCGAAAAAAGGCAACGGTGCTATGAAGTATTTCTGCTAAACTGAGCTGGTGAAATGACGTCGACGTCTTTCCAATATTGTATTTTATATGGTGCTGTGAATACTGTATTTGATAAGTAAATATACTAAAATATATATTATATTAGGTTTAGGTACATTCATAAATTTTCATACATTGATATTTTAAGAAGAATGTAGCCAATGATATACCTACCCAACTACGATACGAAAATTGTGTAAATATTAAACTCTTGTGCCGAAGACGAATTTCTCAAAAACAAAAACAACTGTACATAAGAACCCATAATTTATTATTATTATTATTACAATGTTACGCTAATTTATTCACACACGTTAAATATATTGTACCGTTAGAGAAAATAAGCAGCCATCTTATATAATTGTTCATAAAATAAGTAAATATTGTATGATGTTATTTAAATGTTGTGATGATAAAGGTGCATGGCAACAAGAAATGTATGTGGCACCAATCGGCATCATTGAGCCCAATGCCGAATGTAGTCATATCAACGCAGCAGTTTTAAACCACCTAAAACCATACAACATATCCGTCAGAATAGACTCGATAAATATTTAAAAGTTGAATGTTAATTAATTTTCTAACGGAAGATTTAAATGTCGTAGCAATAATAACTTTTGTCATCATAACATAAATATGAACTGTAGGCATGTATGTATTAATGTTCAACGATGTTCCATTACAGGGGTATTTAATAAAAATTGTTGACTTCGAGTGTATGTTTTTAGCATAGGCTTGAACAAATTACACTTCGTATTGATAATAGATGAATTAAATATCTCTTTACATGACCACTACCATTCAAGAAATGAGTGCTATGATCACACGCTCATCACAAAACAACTTTACTTTTCACATAAGCCCTTTAGTAGTCATTCCTAATTAAAATTCTCGTTGAGATTCGACACAGTAAAAAATACCCAAAGCGGCCGAAAATTACAAAATTTTATATCTTTCGCGATTCAGATTAACAGTGAGACCTCTGGTGGCAGCACATTGTAATTCCTATTGGTGGGTGAAGACCGCCATTTCAGTGGCGTATTTACGGTGGGGGGGGGATGAAGGGGATATATCCCCCCCAGAAGAATTGAGTTATCATCATAGCTATTAGGTATTTAGGTAATACTCCGCTATCCGCTCCGCCCACTTTAAAATAAAGGCAATAATATATAGGTATATATAGAGAGCAATTTTGATTTTGGTTAAAGTCACTAAAATCTAAATATTCTGTAGTATTCAGTATTCACTATTCAGTGAGTGATCAGTGTTGGCAGTCAACGATTTGGTTATTCGGCATCGATCGGCAATTCGCTACATTGATGCCCAAAATAACAAATAGGTATCAGGTACTTAGTACTCCTACTGAGGTGAGGTACCTGCGTACTGCCTTTCACGAAAATAAGAATTTTAAATTTTAAAAACAGGAATTTTTTTGCCCATAACTTTTGATGGAGACGTCTAATCGAAAAAGTACGAATCGTTTTGGATTCTACGCACCCAAATTAATAAGAAAAAGTTTTTCCCCGAGAAATTTTGGTGCAGTCGATTTTTGGTAAAAAAGGAAGGTAATAACTGCCTTTTTTTTGGCCCAGAAAAAAAAATTGTCTCAGATCGACCGGAAAAAAAATATTTTCTTATAGAATGTGGCCTGTAGAATCCATAATTTCAAACAGTTCCAAGATCGGACTACTAGATCAAAAGTTACAGCCCTTTGAATTTTTTGTCGAAATTGGTTTTTTGCCCATAAATATACCTATTATTCAAACTTTTCATTGACTAATTAAAGCAAAAGCAATAAAGGGGCCTGTCAGCAGTAAGAAATAAAATCCCGTTCTAATCTACTCTTACCCCCCCCCCCCTTCTAGTACGCACTGGGGGACTGTATGTGCCACGAACTTGTTTAATCCCCCCCGCCCCCTCCCAGAATACATTTCTACGTACGCCACTGCGCCATTTTGTTTATTTACAATGGCCAAAAGTAATAAATATTGCAGTTTTTGCTTGAGCTAGGAGGCTATTGCGAGCACCGTTTTTTGGACATGTCAAAATCTCATCTAATGTCAACGCCTTAGATCATTTTCAAATTTTTATTGCATCTGTATGTATGCATCAGGGGCCAAATACGAATGACCACCGGCCATATCTCGGAAGCTAGTAGACATAGAGCTTTTGGGTCAAAAATTATGTAATAAAAGTGGCCAAGAGTAATTGCTGGAAATTATTTTCGAGTGTATGAAATGACCACTAGGGGGCGCAAAGGTCATGATCACATACATATAAAATTTCAATTTCCGCCGGATTTTATCTAATAAAGTGGTACCTATCAAAGATAGCCGAGTTTTAATCACACTCTTTTTTGTTTTACTTTTGTTTTTTTTAATTAAATATTGATTTGGTCTTTTTTTATGATTTTCAAAGGGAATATAATTTAATCAATCCATTTCATAAAAAAAGTTTGATTCTGCTGTAATAAATAAAATAAAATTATAAAATTACACATATCGGTTGCACCCATTGGATTATTTTGTTATAACAAGAAATGAATAATAAATAAGATGTAGATATCTGGGAATCGTTTCAAGGGCTTTGCAGAAACTTTTAGCTCCCTATAAAGTGCCCTGCAGTACAACAGCGAGGCTTGGCAGCTTACAATCACCAGGAGTCACAAAGAACGACAATCATAATGGGCTCATGTGAAAAGTTTGGAAGGTTTTGAGATTTTGGAACATACCTACTGATATGAGAGTATTCCACACATACAAAAAACTTTAATTTTACACTACGAATGATTAATGAACGTTACTGATGGATGTGAACCGTAAACTTACCTTGTAGTACTCTAAAAATCTTAGTCTACAAAAAAATGCGGCATTTTCTCAAGATTAAACTGTTATGTATTTAGAAACGTTAGTTATTTTGAAAGCTAATACAAATGTGTACTATGCAAAGAAAGAAACACTGATGCCGTAAGACAGCTAACATCTAATTACAAACATCACTTACTGCTACCTCAGCTTTTCTTTATGAAGAAAGTATGGAGTTAGTAAAAGTTACTTTACGACTTTAACCAAAATTTACCCCCGGCTCGAATACCTTTTATTTTTGATGTCTTCTTTCCTTTATCGCCGCTAGCCGTCGCCTCACGACCGTCAGTCGTCATTACCTCATCGGATCCTTCGGCGCGTTCTTGCAGCTGGGTTTTTAGAGTTTTCTTAATATTTACAATCTGTAAAAGTCGACACTTAAGGAAGGTTTTAACGTTCGTACGGGGGTACCTCTTGTTCGATGTCTGCCTTGCGTTGCACGCTACGATTTTTCTCGGCGTTCGCGCGATGAATTTGTGATTCGACGCAAACTAAAACATTCTCGCACGCCGTACACCATTTCTGTAGGCAGTCGACGATCACCCGAATATCGGCGGCCTGTATGTCTCTCCCTATCGCGTAATCCACCTCCAATTGACTATTTTTCTGGTCTAATTTACCGTGGATTATATCCGCATAAATTGCTTCAATAATTAAATCTTCTAAATCCCGAACATTCTTAATTTCGAGTTCGTTTAATAAAGTAGAGTAGGGTATACACTGTAAACCTAACAGTTAATGTAATAGTAACACAAGTAAGCCATACCTTCGTCTGTGTTGCTAGCGTAACTATCGTTAAATGTTGCAATTTCTTTTTCTGCGCCGGCGTTAACTCTAACAGATTGCTTTGGTTTGATACGTACTGTTTGTAAGTTCCGAAGGCGAACAAGTTGAGAGTATGCCAACAGGCGCTATTGACACCTATTGCCAACTAAAAACAAAGTTATACGCCACTTAAATCTTCGACAATCAGCATGCCTGACCTCCTGCACATTTGGCATATCTAATAGCTCTCCGAACACATAAACCCCCGGTGTTTCCAGTACTTGCTTAATCAATTCGACGCAAGCTGCACCTTTTGCAGATTTAGCGAGTAGAACGAATTGCTCCAGGGGGTTGTTGGAATGGGACGGTTTTTCGACTACCATTTTTCAGTGTGTGAAAGTACAGGAGCAGTTTAATTCTTGTTATTTATTTAGTACACAATTTTTGTTTTTGGCGACCGGTGCGGTGAATATAAATTTGACAATTGACATTTGATTTGACGGAAATTTGGAAGCATTATTTATACACTGCGAGATTATTCCGACAAACCTGCGGTGTACCTACTACCAGTTTTGATACCTGGAAAATCTATCTAATCTCTTTTAAGGTCTTTCACAGCTTCTAGGTCCTAGTTCAACAAATTCAGTGAACTGCACCAGATGAGAAAGCAACACATACAGCAAAGAATCGGACTGTATCTGGTATTTACTCCACAGAATGTATTTAAACAACTCGTATGGAGAAACATCAAATTAGAGAACCCCCTCTCTCGTATACGCCAAAACACAAGAGCTGCAGGTCATCCTCCATGGCATTGAAGATATAATTTTTATCATACAACAAATATTGGACGAGATTAACTTTATATCTACTGTACGAGGAAATAAATATTTATCCAAGTGCTATACCTCTTCAATTTTAAAATTCTATAAATTAGTCGCCATCCTCGCCCATTGCATTATTGCACATTACAGCACCAACATTTAACTACCCTCTTTATTAATAATTATGCATAAAATTAACACACCCTGTCATTGTTATACAAACTACAGGAATGACACTCATTCTTTAAAATTAACTTGAGACTAAAATTGTTCCATAAAATTAATGTAGCGGTAAAAAAAATTGTTATACATTTTCGGATACGTATAAGATAGAACCACATCAATGCTTCTACATTAATAATTAAATATACATAGCATGCATACAAATGGTTACATTCGAGAAGCCAACAAAGATCTAGCACCTTGTTTCATACAAGCCACTTCTTCCGATATACCGTACCCATTTAATAACATCGTGATCAGAGTAGTTGAGTTTTGGCTCGAACACCTTTAGATACCTCACCTTGAAACCGGAGGGAGCAAATGGTACCTCGAAATTCATTGAGATAGGCGGGCGAGTCCATTTCTTCTTAGTATCGGTTTCTAATAGTTCGATTTCTGCAGAGAGCTGTGTTTCTTTCATGCCTGCCATACGTTTAATCCTACAAAAAGACGTAAAAACCGCACAAAATCATTTGTAGATACTTACTTCCAAACAATCGCATTTTCGGAAGCTTTATACTTGGCTTTGCCTTTAAGGCAAATGAGTTGCACTCCAGACGTATTCAAAGGAGTGGGGATTTTCACCTCAATCTTTTGGCCTAGTAGAGACGGTTTAAAATTGCTCTTCAACACTACCTTCACCTCCATTTTGGTACGGCCAACCTCGCGAACTAGGGGAATCACACGGAACGGCAGAGAAATGTCTTTGGTTGTTCGATATCTACAAATCACGATTTTACAAAGACACCCAATAGTGTCAGCTAGTTACCTCATAAGTTCAAACTCTCCGTCGGGTGGGATAAAACTAATGGAATGTTCCGTCTCAAACTTACTCAGCTTAACACACTGATGAAATTGACAGTCGTCGATTACAACGACGGGTTTGCCAGATCGTGCCGGATCCGAGTCAGTTGTACTGCCCAAACCTCCCTTACCTTTCGCCTCCATGACTATTTTATCGTTAATTCCGAATTTGCACTCGGGCATACCTGAGAGGTACGATTTCATGACCACTTTTCCAGCGACGTGTGCAGACAGCACCTGACCTATAGAAGACATTAATTTCCCTCGTCATGCCATTCAATAAGAATCTGAATAAAAGGGCAGTACAATGCATTTTCAAGTGGTCAATTTTAAATTAAATTATCCACATTTGATTTTGTGGAGAAGAGAATTTTAGCTATTTAGATTCTTATCAACCGTCATCCTGTAGCTTTAATTTACCTTGAGGCGACATTAATAAGTTCACATACTCCAAAACGTCTAAGAATAATTCATTGCGACGATACTTAATTCCTTCTCGTCGCCATCCGATTTGCCCGGTAACCTGTGAGGTAATCTGAGCCTGTTCCTCTTTAGTCGCCGATTTAATGCCCTGTTGAGTTATGAACGTCTTCAAAACTCCCGTGTCTGAATTTTGCGGATAACCAAAGTCCAGAATTTCTGTTGGCAAACATTCCTAGCCAATTTGCGGTTTATAAATATACAAATATTACCGTCTAATAGTTCGTAGATCAAAACAAAGTTGTTTTTTATATTTTCCTCTGAAATCTTGCCAAAGTAGGATTGCATAACTTCAATAATCTTGAGCAGAAACTCAAAGACCATAGCGGCGTTAACGTTTTGTTTCGTTACAGCGGCCAGCCAAATATTCGCCCTCTGAAAGTGCAAGACATAGAAATCGGTTTTTGCCGTGTTACTCCCTACCTTAATATGGAAGAAGGACGTCCTCGCTATGTTCGTGACGGGAGAGCGTACCTGCTGTCTGGCATGAATGACGTTAACGCGAAATGCATCAACTGCATTTCGACCGATATCGTCACGATACACTCTTGAGATGAGCACCTCCCCCTTGTGATTATATACAAAAAGCCCCCCAATCATAATGGGAGCCTTCAAGTGTAACAATTTAACATAAAAATTGAGTTACTTGTAGAACAACTTACGTGAAATGGTTTTAAATTGCTTAGAACTTGGTCTCTTGCAATAGCATCCTTTTATAAAAAGATTGCCGATAACACATCCACCCACTACGCCATTTTTTAACCTCTACATTCTTCGAAGTTCGAACTGACAGTTGACAGTCGATGTTGAATTCTTCCAATTCATCGAATTTTCGAAAATGTACATGGTGCCTCAAATTTTACAGTCCAGTTAAAAAAATGCATCTACCAGATCTAAATTCTTGATATACCTCTTTTATAGGCTTTTAAAGTCTTAGCATTTTATCTGTGGGTTGCAGAAGGCTAGGAGGACTTAAAAGAAGACATGTGGTCGTATGGGACAAAGAACTATGTATTAACATTCATGTGGATCAAAGATTAGGTATCATATAAAAAGCCCATTATACAGTAAACGAAACAAAAGCAAAACACCAAAGCATTGGGGTTCATCCTATTTTAGGGGATTTTAAATGTAGTGTACGGGTTCAATAACGATAAGTGGTTTTCTTTGGTCCCACTTGCTCGCCTTTAAGTGAAACACGAGGCAAGCAATCCTGTTTATGTAAAAATACTCAAATTTATCATTTTAACCAAGGCGCCCCCTATTTAATTTTTACCTAAATGATATTGTCACATTTGAAATTTTGGGAAAAAATTTAAATAACGAGAACCGTCAAATACGTACCTAACCTAGAATAATCAACACAATTTACGTGTTTAGTTTTAAATTTAACTATTATTAATAATTATTTCAGTAAATGTAACTGCAAACTCGAGATAATAATGGAGAAAGGGCCCACAATAGAAACTAGTCATTTAAAGTGTGATAGCGAAGAAACCATCGATACCGAATCCAAGCATGATAGCAACCTTTACTCGACCGAAATTGATTCGGAAACCGTTGAGAAACTTAAAGGTGACGCTATTGGAGATACTTTATACAGCGAAGCATTCGTAGCAAAAACTTTACTGCAGTTGTCGAATCTGAAATGGTCCGAAAAGGTGGAGGAAGATTTATGCTTCTTGTGGGATATGACGTTAGAAAAAGACGTTTGCGACTATCTACTAAAGTTGTCTTATCCAAATATTGTATGCGAAGTCATTCAGAAATACGACGAGAGCCGTTTGTTGGAGATAGTGATTGGAATTCTCGCCAATGTTTGTTGTACGGTCGATACCTCTGATATAACCGACGATCACGCAAAACTGGTGCTATCAGTGCTGGAAACGGATGATGCTTTGATTTTAATACAAGTTGTACGATTTGTTAAGGCGCTAGCGTACGATCGGGACCAGTTACTGTTTCTCGACGATGGAGTGTTAGAAAAGTTAAACTTTATACTTTTAAATTCGTGTAACGTTGATCTTCTCTTGAATACCCTCGATTCCATTTCGAAGATGACCTCGGATAATAAATTAAGTTTAACGGTTGTAAAAGCAGAGTTCATTAAATCCGCAGTAGTAGCTTATCAATGTATTTGTAAAATTGAACGCGAACGGCTGTCTTTATCTGAAGACGAAATCGAAACCAATCAACAGCGCACATCCCTCACGTATTTAATCCAGATCGTCACGAACATCTGCAGTTACATAAACACCGACGACAAAAACAACAATTTATTTCACGAAGCACAAGAATTCATCGACCCTTTTGTCGACGAGCTTTGCAAAATTTTGAATTATTACAGCAAAGACGAATGCGTCCTTCCCGTATCGGAGGAGCTTCAATTTTACGTTAAGGCGTTCATTTTCATTTTCCAAACGTTACGCATCCGCTACAGCAAGACAATCTTCAAGAGTATTATTAGCATAACTTACTTCCTATTGAGTAATAAATGCGAAGAGTCGGACGAGTTTTTAGAGTTCTGTAACTATTTCGTTTATGTCGGATCCTTAGATAATCTGAAAAGTGATTTTCGTAGTTTCGAAATTAAGGTCGTTAGGCATATTCTTAGTAATATTCACGCGAATAGGGATTCTTACGACTGTGTTAATGAAGAAAATGTAAATGCCTTATTAATGGAATTTGTAGGGAAGCGTTGAAGTTGACCGTTTCTGTCTTATGTTATGTACCTACCTACAATATTCCTCATTATGTACTATATTAATGAATATATAATGTGATATTATTTTAAGATTATTGCTGTCTTAATTATAGGATTGTAACAATTTTGTATGCTGTATACCCATGAGATCATGTTTAGCTATTTATACATGTGATACTGGCTTCGCAAAAAATAAAAAATGTTACCCAATTACCTCTTTTTGTCACTGTGTACACTTGAACACTGCAGTACTCAACCGTGCCAGAGGCACCTGTAAAAAGTATTATGCGGGAAGCCTGTTGAGGGCCCAGAACAAGAGAGGGATAATAAATAACCAGGTTATTGTCACAAATTCAAATAAAAACTCCAAAACTGACCTTTTTTCAGTGGTTTCCTTATTTTGACCAAGTAACCCTGTAAAGGATTAATCATTTACAAATGAAAATATTTGATGCCCTCAAAAGGATCATACCCATTGCTGATAAGTGATAAGAAAAGATTTTCATTAAAAATTAAGTACCTAATTCCAAAACAGATGGAAGTTGAATTTTTATATCCGTGTATTTAAGGATGCGAGTGAATCCTATAAAAATAAGAATATGAATCATCTGGAAAAGGATAATGAATCCAAAAACAAGAATCACCCCCCAACAAAAGAACGTTTTCTTTTTCCAAAGCACTCTTCTCAAAAAATTAAAAATTGTGTTTTTAGGAAAAATGTGATACTGAACCACCATGTGTGATATATCGTTGTAAAGAGAAAAAAAGACGTAATCTCAAAATGTGAAAAATGAAAATTCAAAATGGCATCCATAAGAAAAACTAAAGTTGTCACGTGTTTCTTAGTCATCTTGACAGTTATTAAAAACAGGATGCCATATTTGAAATCTCCATTAAAAAGTGTCCGAATAATGTGTTAATTAGAAATGTCTACTACGATTAGTTTATCATAAAAAAAATAAAAACGAAAATCAGCAATTTTCGTTTTTTTGCGATATCTTCAAAACTATTGGAGATATTTCAAATTTCTTTTCAGATTCTTATTCGGCACGAAAATTGGCAACTTTGCCCTCATTTAACCAACTTTCTATCTCTTAAGATAAGTGAGATCCCCATAGTGGCACTCGAAAAATGGACACCGTGTATATCTAGTGCTGATGTAAAGTAATAATTGTGAATATCTCGAATTTGTTGGGAAAATTTCGGAGAGTATCCCTAAGGGCTTATGATCCTTCTTGCATTATAATATATAGGTAGCGTCATAGTGTAAGTTACACTATGGTAAGGTGTAGATAGCGTGTGATATCTTTTTCTTTACTAAAAGAATCTTTTTCTTTCGTTGGAAAATGCGCTAAAAAGTGGAGTTATTTTGTTATGAGTAATAGGATACGAGAATTCAGAATCAGGAGATTCATACGCCATTTGAAGGCATTTGATTTGGCAAATTTACCTAAATGAAAAGCCTAATTGGTCTGTAACCATTTTTGTTTAGAATGTAAAAAAAACCTGTAGATTAATTAAATGATAAAACGACATTCGAATACAATTCAGCTATATATAGGTCTGGTCTACCTACATATTACTGTGACCCTATAACATTCGGGTACATAAAAAATAAATGCAATGCCCCACGTTGGGCGAGCTAATAAAATTGTTGTGCCCGACCAAAATGAACCATACACAAAATACCTTAAACCTATCTAGCTTTCTCATTATAACTTTCCCAGGACACATCTGAATCTTGGCACAATGAAAAATTCCAATCTTGACTTCAAATTCCAAATTCTAAGGTAAATAATGGCCGCGATCAAATTCCTTAAAGGATTACCTACTACCTACAAACATACCAATCGCTCTTTGTGAGTACCCTCCCCCAACACTCCGCTAGCTTGTTATATGAGGAATTATAACCGATCACAATACTCATCGGTTGACTCAATCAGCAGGTAAGAATCGAGTTTAAATATCTAAACTTTTAGTGTTACTGTGTGCTAGATCTCATGTTACAAATTTCGCACCCTTACGAGCTCATTCTTAATTTGTTTTAATTACAAATCACTTAAACAACCACAGCAGACCAGTATACAACAAAATTAAATTGTATTTTGAATAACAAAGCAAAGTTTTCCATCAACAAAAAATGCACGTATTTTTACAATAAATAAAAACAAAAGCAGAGAAAAAAATTATTTAATTGTCCACAATTTCTAAGCTGCTCTCACTATTCTTTGTTGCGTGTTCGTGTTCGGACGAACTAGAACCAGATCCGATTTCCATTAAATCGTCAGATTTGGCGTCGATTGTGTCCGGATCTGGATCGGGTGGTACGCTTGATAGTTGCCAAGCCGGTATGGAAGGGGGTACTACGGAGTTATTCGACACTGATGGAAATTGTTTTCTGTAAGTCGAGATAACGATTAAGAAGTGTTCCTAGTTATTCAAATATGCTTCAGCTTATAGAAATTATATCGGAAACTTTACAAATGCAATTGTTTTTGGGATTTTTTAAATACCATCAGTGGATTCAAATCAAGTCACATGAAATACAATGATTAGACTTACAACAAACCCCTGCACGTAGTCAACACGTTTAAGAGGTTTTTAGTTGTTTTATAAACAATTGAGTGGTAGAGATGTCTCAATATATTACAGGAACAACATGCTGTTTTACCTGAATTACTCAACAAGGGGTGCTGATATTTATATTTTGAACACTGTGACAAATTCAAGGAAAATTGGGCTGTTTTGATTATCCAACGAGAATCTTAAGTTGGCATGCCCTGTGAAGTATGTCTGGAGGTACACTGCGAACTGCTATCAAATTGCAAGAAATAAAAACCAATACCCATAAAATGGCAATTTAAATTGTGAAATAACCTTCATAGATTATTCTTCGTATCGTAAAAAGGTAATAACTAAATTGATAGCAATTTTACAGCCCATTAGGCCATTACTTCTAAATAAAACCTTTAATTATAGCACATAGTACACTTATAATGGCATACGGTTTCACTAAAGCCAAGCTATTCTGATAAAACCTGAGGTCACACCTAGATTAACATAACAAAAAAACGGGCAACAACCCTGTCATTAATTCAGGTCTTAATATGCATTTCCAAATTCAGAATTTCCACGTGCAGTGCAACTTTTTTACATTTCTGACCTACCTGCTAAGCAAAAGTCCCTTAACCGTCGATATTTCCGACTTCAAATCATGCAATTGTCTTTGCATAGGGGACTCGCCGCCTTGTGAAATTTTATCTACCTCAATCTTAACATCGGTTACGGAATTTTTTAAATCGGTTATAGACAGCGAAACGGATTTACTCAAATCTTCCATTTGTTCATCCAAATTTTTCTTCTTCTTCTCTCCGAATAAGAACGGCCTAATAAATTTCTGCAACAAACACTAAGCGAAAAAATGGCGCAATTGGTGGACTGACCTTATAAAACATGTAAATGGCGTAGGCGACTGCACTAAGCAGCGCGACATTATGTACAATTTCTTTAAACTTATCGAAGTAACTAATAGGTTGTACTTGACTAGTGTAAACGTTTGACTGGATTGGAATAGGAAGTGCGGGCGGTTCTCTGGTTTGTTTCTCGTGTAAAACGTAAGCTCCGGCACGTTCGCAGGCAACTTGTATTTCTTTGTCGGTTAGACCCTTGCGTTGGAGAAACTTTTGCTTTTGAGCCAAAGGCGTGCTGACGACATTACGATTTTCTAAAAACTTCACGGCGGTTTGCACCTAAAATACTGCGTAAAAAACTACAGTTCCCATTGCGAAACTTACAATATCTTCCCTAACCGTGTCGGAGTAAGTGCCAGCTTCTTCCGTAGATACGTCGGCCATATCTACTCGTTGAATGTAAGCTTTTTAAATTTTCATTACAGTATCAAACTCCAAGGTCGTAGGGCATGTAAACTTCACAATCACACTTTGAGGAAGAGTTATTCGAGAAAAACGATTTGTCCTAATTGGTACAGACAAAGTTGAAAACATAAAATGCCAATGATCACTGTATATTTCCTAATCAATTCAGTAGCAGCGAATTAGAAGATAAGAAATTGTTTAATTAATTAAAAAAATAATAAATTTCTGTAGCAAATCCACCGTACACCTCCCCCCAAACAAAACCAACTTCAACTTATCATTTATCTGGTGTCTCTACTATACACACTTTTCTTAGACTGTGTTTAGGTATATGCTGTATATAAAATATACAGGGAATTTTTCTTAAATGTATACGGGTAATGTGTACTTTTAAAGGAAACGGAACAAATGCATGGAATAAATGGCTATAATAGGCAACTAACTCTACACGAATTTGTTTTAACTGATAGTCTGCGTATACTATGAAAGCAGTATCTTGATTATTTAATATAACAAGGTTAGCCATTAGTCTTTATTTTTATTATTAGCATCAATTTTTTTGTTTCCTCAGAGAAGTAGCCTTTGGTGGCAGGTATCCGCAGGGTGCCATTGTGACCGAATGCGAAGACAAGTGGACCTTTGACTTGTTGGAGAGGACGACCTGCCAGCGAGTTGGCCTAGTTGAATCATTGAATAAGCACTTTAAAAGAAGTATAATGCCTGTGTTAGTTGATGAAATGAGGACAGCTGCCTGGGTCTGGTTCGGGTAAAGACTTTGCTTCACGTTTAGTGATGTGCTCCTAGGGATTTTTTTATTTTATACGGTAATAACGGAGCCGGTATTTGGGTTGTCACAACTGACAACGCTCAACGATCTACTGCTCATGCGCAAATGTCAGATATGGGTCGATTTTTGTCATGGCGTTGGTGCTGTTACTGTTTATTGCTTGTTGAAAATGCGATATGTAAACCAAATTGAAGAGCTTCAGTATTTCGTCCTGTTAACCGATGTAAAATTATAACAGAAATATCAAGAATTACAAATGTGGAAGCGAGTGCAAATGGGACTAAGAGCATTTTTGCTTGTCACATCTAAAGTGTGGACTTGCTTTTGCTATATGATTAAAAAACAGACTAGAGCTGTAAGTTTACCATTAATTAAGTTCCCATTTTCCTCAGTAATTCGTACTGTTAATGTAATGTTGTTCCTAAGGCTGTGATGATTATAATATGCTAGATTTGATAAGTAATTTTTGATATTGTTATCTTGTGTCTATTAATATTTTACTTGTCAATGGCAAGGTTGTGATCGGGCAATGTTGTGATTTGGCAAGGGTTACATTTGGCACAGTATCAAAATTAGTTTATTACGTTTTAGATAATACAACATCAATCCGTCAAGTATAATATTTACCCACTGTCGCCATTATCAAGACATCGACTAAGTAAGTTACCTCACGCACACTAAATCGTATGTAATTCTCTCTTTTGCAGGTATCGTGAAACGCAAAGTATTGGTTTTAGATTTAGATGAAACATTGATTCACTCACATCACGATGGCGTCGTACGACAGACGGTTAGGCCGGGAACGCCACCCGATTTCGTTTTGAAAGTAGTAATTGATAGGCATCCTGTACGATTTTTTGTTCATAAAAGACCGCACGTAGATTTCTTTCTCGACATTGTCTCGCAGTGGTACGATCTTGTTGTGTTCACCGCGAGTATGGAGATATATGGTGCCGCAGTAGCCGACCGTTTGGACGCGGGGCGCGGGATTCTCCAACGCCGGTACTACCGGCAGCACTGCACGCCCGACTTGGGGTCGTATACGAAAGATCTCAGCGCCATTTGTAACGATTTGTCTAGCATATTTATTTTAGACAATAGCCCCGGAGCATATCGGGCCTATCCAGGTCGGTATTTAATTTTGAGAGTCGATGTTATGCGAATTTAATTTGTAGATAACGCGATTCCAATTAAGTCGTGGTTCTCGGATCCTACGGACACTGCATTGCTCAACCTCCTTCCTGTGCTGGACGCTTTACGTTTTACGGCAGATGTACGATCGGTCCTATCGCGAAACTTACATCTGCACCGTCTTTGGTAGACTCAGGTTAGTTAATTTACTTGTTAGTGAAATTTTGAGAGTTTCAGTCAGACCCGAGGTCAGACCTCATGAAAGTCCCTGCTGTGGCAAGTTGTGTATCCAGTTTTAACGAACCTCGTTGTAAATATATTTTTTTTATTCTAGTCTCTATTTTATTGTGTATTTTGTTAAATAAAAAATGAAGGTAGGAACAGAATAAACAACTGAAACTGTTTATGATTCTAGAGGGCGCCAATGTCAATCAGACAAGTGGATTTTTTATGTTATATATATAGTGTGGGTTTAAAAAGCATAAATATTTACGTAAGTTGATTTGTGCATGCTCAGGGAAGGTCCCTTAACAGCTAAAATCCATCAGAATAGTTTAGAAACTGGACTCGGGCATCAGGAGATTTTTTTAACCCATGCCAGAACTTGCTAGATTCTTTCCAGAACTTTGTATCATCTTCCTAGGGTTGCTATAGTTTTCCAGGTCTTTCTGGGTCATCCCTTATAAGTTTTCAATGATCGTCCCAGAGAATTCCACAATGTAGACTGCAAGAAGGTTTCTCGCCGTATTACCATTTGCCATTATGACTAATCAAGAAGGAGTAAAGAAACAGGGTTAAGTGGTAGAACAAAAGACCACTACCGTTCTGAACGCCACCCTTTTGATTTAACTGTCTTTTTTCTTTAATTTATTTTGCTTTATAGTTCTTATTTTGTATTAGTTTCGTTGTTTCAATAAATGACGATTACTATTATTATTATAAGAAAGATTTTAGGTATCACTGAAATGCATTCCTTAAAGATTCTTCATCATTTTCCGGGTGGAGCTTAAGAAAAAGATTATGATCCAAAATAATTGTAAATTGCTTCTCTCCTTGAAATGGAGAGGTGCTGTATTCATTTATTTTGCTCTAAATGACTTAATGACACCTGCCATATATTTTTCAACAAAAAAAAATTAGTTCCTGATCCAAACTGAGTTTCTAATGTAGGTGAAGTGATTCGAAATCGGGAAAAAATAATTAAAACAGCTGAATTTTTCCGCAGGCGAAATCGGGGGGATGAATGGGGTGGAAAGTGGTATTTTGCAATTTGTAGCAAAACTATTTATTTTAGGTGAAAATGGCCGAAGTAAAAGTTGTAGCCAATAGAAAAATGAAGGACTTTTGTAGCTACACTTTTTTCATATTAACTCATTGTTTTTTTGTTATTTTTAGAGTTGAATCTTTTACGTTTTGAGGGTCGCTCCTGCTTAGTCTCAAACTAAGATATTGAAAAAATAAGCCAAATCTGATGTGGCCCTCGAATTTGAATCAGGGCAGTGACAGAGTGAAGTGGAGGGGGATTGTACCTTTTTGCATATTTGTTTTCATCATTTTTGGAATTTTGGCTAAACATTTTTTTGAGTAAAATATAGGTAATATCGATGAAGAATTTTATGCTCCACAAAAATGGATACCACACCTTTTTTGATAAAGGGTGTAGTTTTCCTGTAAAATGCTGAAAACTGAAAAATGTACCTCTAGAAATGACACACAGGCTTCCCTGCCAGATGGGGGCGGGTGGCTCCCCTTTTAAAAATGTTTGTTTTGGTGAAATGTAAAATTGTGTGGCTTGCAAACGTCGTATAATTTCATGTATGGTAGGACTATTACCTTGGATACAATAAACAAAACAAAATCTCCATGGCCTACTACTTAAAAACTGTAAAAAATAAGGTTTTTGGTCCATGGCTAAAATTTAAAAAAATATGTTGATTGTCATACGTCAATAGAATCTGGAAAAAAAATGTAAAAAATTGGCATTAAGATATACAGGGTGTTGTATTTAAGAAATACCAACATTAGGTTAAATCTCGGAAACGATGGTCCAAAAATTTTGTTGACTACGGCACTGGATTCTACCTAAAACTATCTAAAATAGGCACTTTTCGTTTTCACCCTGTAGCTGAGAAACAAACGTATCTAGATTGATTCTGTTTATGGTGTAAAAGTAGCACAGAGGTGCGAAAACCGCAGGTCTTTACATTATCTGACATACACTACAGTCTCATCCAGAATATAGAACACACATGAACCTGTATTTGTAGAATTGTAATTCACCTTCCATCCAACCACGACGAGGTTTTGGAAAACACACAGCCCCAGAAGGCGTTCCAGAACAATCAAAGGTTTTCCATACTTTTTTGGGCATAGTCTAGAGGTTTTAAATCGATTCCTGAGTCTTTTGAGTTTTTACTATGGCTATCTAGACAGGTTTTGGGGTCTTATCAGAACTTTCTGCAGGGGCTGCTCTAAGATACTTAAAAGGAGTTGGGAAGCGCTTCAAAATTCTACGCGGGACGTAACGTACTAGAACTACCCTTTTCTGACAATTTAGGTCCCCACATTCTGGGAGGTATTTTTTTAAATTATTCCGTCATCCATGCCATTTATTTTTTAGTCCTCTCATTGAGGGCTGTGGTATCTCATCCTCGAGGTGTTGCTCATAGATTATTTTTTAACCTCAGGGACCTTTAAATGTTGACTTCACCCCTTATTACCAAGTGTAGATGTGGAATTTCTAGGTTGCTCTCTGTTCTCATTTGTTTCCCCTTTTTTTTAAAAAAAAAAACATTCAATGTGCTTTAGTGATTTAAGGGTACAGAAATGGAATATATTCATGCAAAAATTAGCTCTGTATATAAGTTGGCCGAGCTATTAACTAAATCTTGTTTGTTCAAGTAGCCGCTCAAACCTGAAGATGGTGTCCAAAGTGATCCGGGTCCGAACAACTTCTCACAATGTAAATATTAAACTAGTAGAATAAATTATTGTTTGTTTACTCTATTTCATTTTATCAAGGTGTAATTACGTAACATTATTTTTCATCCCATTGTTTTCGATTGCCAAAGACATTTTTGTATAGTTTTTGTTAGTTTTTGTGTTGCGTAGAACGTTGCGAAAGTAGTTAAATTCCTTTAAATTTACGTATTTATGTAACGATATTTTCTGCATCAGAAAATATTCACGTTGTTAAATGTTGCGCATGTTTAAAGAGGAAACAAGTACCTAATGATCCTTGTACAACTAAATTGAACGTTTACTGTAGGTATAAGTTTTTCCGAAACTCCTATTGTACTTGCCAGTGGTACTAGAAAAGTATGTAGTTTTATGTATCCGAGTTCTCTCTGTTCACAAGCCTTATTTTAGTTTGTACTGAAGACTACGTAGCCTGAACACCTAAATGGTACAAATCGCAGAGAGTTGTACAAGGATTTACAAGCTATAAAGGATGTGTTTAATCTACAAATAAAATAGCACATTGAACCTTCAGTTGGTTTGTACTTAAATTGAAAATAAACAACTTCATAAGTGTTCTTCAACAAATACTAGTTTAGGTACAAATTTCTTTGTGGATATTTTTGTAAATGAAAGTAAATGATACAATGTTACGATTTTGGAAAGGTGTACATATCTGTCCTATCAGTTTCGAATTCAACATAGTATAATATATTTAGTAGAGAGTAACCTGTAAATAATAACTGTTTAGATTATTAACGATGACATGTAAATATTTTTACTTTATTATTGTATATAGTATTTTAAGAACTGTCCTGTCACATCTACCGTCATTATTATGTACAATCAAATAGATTATATTTATTTGATATTTACTCGATAATAAAGATTTGTGAACTGATTTTAATTAATTAAAATTATACTACATACAGAAGCACCTTTAGTTATAGTCCAAGATCTCACATAAACACCCGTTACCTATTGAATTACATTCTTAACAATTTTAATGATGTGTAAAGAAACATTGGAAATGGGTTGCCTAAAAAAATTAAGTCAAGACTACCTTTAATTAAACTTAATATACTTAATGAATGAATAGTCACTAACTCTAGGTACGTAATTAAAAGATAAATTGTACTTTATTTTGCACTTATTTATTTTTATTAGGCTCACATTTCCAATTGTAATTGAAGGTAAAGTGAATCTGAATATGAAAAGTTCCACAAGAACATTGAGGCAAATACTAACAAAATATTCTGTCGATTAATCTTTGAGAAGCAAACGCATTCTGCCAAGGAAGACAAGAATTTAAAATCTGCTACAGATATACTTCCTGAGAGATGTATTAATTTCCTTAGATATAAATTGTATGAAAATATTCCAAGAGGTTCGAATTTGAGAAAAGGGCAGGTCTGTTTAGGTTGGTAATGAGTTCTATTTTCAAAAAAGGTTTAAAAATGGCCCCAATTGTCAGTAAATGGATAATTTAATAAAATTTTCTTGAACTAAGGAATTGATCAATCAACAACTATTATTGCATTTGTGGATGCATCATTGTTTGGGATTAATTATTTAAATTATTGTATTTATTTGTCTTTCCCATAAATAAAAATTTGTTGGGAAAGACAAATAGTAATGGTACTTGAACCCCATTTCATTGCATTGCGATAAGTAAGTATATTCCATATATATGTCGCAGCCGTTTAATGAAATTGGACATTTCATGAAAAGTCTAGACACTTCATGAAACTGTGGAACAGTTTACTTTCCAGGACCAAGCGATTGGATTCCCTTCCCATTAGAGATCGATAAATGGTATCCTTATCGATCTAGAAGGGGAAGGGAAATTACCCCACACGTACAAATTTTCAGCGTTTCACTAAATGACTAGGCCTCGGACTAGCCGTTTCATGAAATGTCCAATTTCATTAAACGGCTGCGACATATATATATGGTATATTCGATGAGCTAACATGCCCCTGCGATTAGGCAACACACCTTTCACAATTGAAAGAATACTGATATGGAGAAAATACGTTCAGTATATACAGCAATTATTCTATCCCGCTGCCGAAGAACAGGGAGATTACACAGCGAAGCTTGGGGGCAAGTTAGCGGGATTCGAATCCGAATCGAGCTTGAGTAGAAATGGCAGGTCTAGCGTTAGGAGATTTGTTTTATATAGTTTTGAAGATCTTGTCAGATAGGCTCCATTTCTCCATATACGGAGTAAACCGATTTCTGGTACTTGTCATGACTCTTGCCGATCCACATCAACTTGAAATTTCAAAAAACACCATTAAAAAGTCACAGGAAGGTTATACACTGCCTTTTGTTGAGGCCCGAAGAAAAAATTGTCTGAGATCGACCGGGAAAAAACATTTTCTTATAGAATAGGACCTGTAGAATCCATAATTTCAAACAGGTCCAAGATTGGGATACTAGTTCAAAAGTTACAGCCCTTTGAACTTTCTTTCGAAATTGGTTTCTAATCTATAACTTTTGATTGAGAAGTCTAATCGAAAAAGTACGAATTGTTTTGGATTCTACGCCCCAAAATTAATAAGAAAAAGTGTTTTCTCGAGAAATTTTGGTGTAGTCGATTTTTGGTAAAAAGGGAAGGTTATAACCTGCCTTTTTTTGAAGCCCGAAAAAAAAAATTATCTCAGATCGACCCGGAATAAAATTTTTTTTATAGAATGTGGCCTGTAGAATCCATAATTTCAAACAGTTCCAAGATTGGGATACTAGTTCAAAAGTTACAGCCCTTTGAATTTTCTTTCGAAATTGGTTTCTAGTCTATAAGTTTTGATTGAGAAGTCTAATCGAAAAAGTACGAATTGTTTTGGATTCTACGCTCCAAAATTAATAAGAAAAAGTGTTTTCCCAAGAAATTTTGGTGTAGTCGATTTTTGGTAAAAAAGGAAGGTTAAGTATTCAAATACTTTGTGAACTATTCGAATACTAAATATTTGTGAAAGTGTGAGTTACAAATACAAATACTGCTTCCATTAAAGTATTTAATTACAAAGTATTTGAAGACTAAAAAGTATTTACAAAATCGAATATACTGCCCAGCTCTGCTTCATTTATATCTTAAAAGCTGTAAACAATTACATATTAAGTTTTACTTGTGGAATGAATCATACATATATCAAGGAAAGGATGCGTCGCATCCAATTTCATTCCTTATTGGTGGTAACAAATTTTGTATCGACTGCATGGCGCCTGCTGGCTTCCCTGTCTGTGATACTCGCTATACTTAGGACACTAAAGTATATAAGAATAATTTTAACGCGAATGGGGTGAGAGTAAAGTTGCGTTAAAGTAATTTATAAAAATAATCTTGTTTTAATTACATTCTGGTCCCTTTTAGCTTCTGTCGGTTACTAATTTAGCGACAGGGTATCCTTGTGTTTCAAAATGCTATTTTTTTCTGGTCAGCTGTCGTCCCTTTAGGTGGCGGGGATTTACTAGCTCCTCAAACTGTTCATCTGCTGCATACCTACCAGATCTATATAACTTGAAAATGAAACAATAGAAACACAATTGTTGATTTATTTTTAAACCAATATCAATACCACAAATCTTATATCTACAAGCTTTTAAGTCTACATTCTATTTTTGATTCGACTGTTGGGCAATCTTCAATTTGCCTAGGTTTGGATGATCCATAAAGCTCATAGATAAAGTGCTCGTACCTCAAGCGGAAGCAGTGTTTGTAAACCATGGCTTCCGCATGCAGTAGACCAATAACAGATTATATAATCACCTAATTTAATAACTAATGATATATTCATAAATCTCTCTTCATTTTTAACAAACAGAATTTACAGCTAGATACCTAGGGAACAAAAACGCGGGATATGCTTCTTAATTGAATCGTTTTTTTTTTTTGCTAATTGTTGGTCATAAAAATGGTTAAATACTTCCAAATACAGATAAATAGTACAATAAGCGTAATTCATTATTATTGATAATTTTCTGTCACAGTAATAACTTCACATCGAGGGCTTTTACATTCTTTAACACGTTTTGGAAATCTAAACTCCTTAGATACAGACAGATTTGTTTGAAGCATAGAGGTACATGAATTTTTGATGGAAACGAAATGACCGATGATACATTTTCAAATTGGCGCAATTTAGTTACCGCACGGAGGACACGGGGTTTTATCAGTTTCTTCCCTAACGTAGTCTTGAACACTAAATCTATTACTGTCTTTATTGCCGCTTTGTCGCCGCTTTAATTCCCTGAAAAACTCTGTCAATTACACACACCGTCATTTTTCCAATTGGGAGTTTACCTCGCGATGGCCATGAAGGCGAGCTCTACGTTAACTCCACTTTTTGCAGAGGTTTCCATAAAGGCTACATTGTACTCCCTCGCGAGTCGCTCACCGTCTTCTCTTCGAATCACTCTGTCCGTTCCGCAGTCGCATTTATTTCCTGAAATTTTGCAAAATTTAGTTGAGCAAATTATACATGGTATCTACCTATTAACATGATAACGACATCATCTTGTGCGTACTCCCTAATTTCCCCCAGCCACGCTCTTATATTGTCAAAACTCGTCTTATTGGTCACGTCATACAGCAGCAAAAGCGCTGGAAGCAATCGATTAATTCTCACCAGTTTAGGTCACCAAAAGTTACCATGTGCGTCTCTATAATAGGCATGGGTTACGCTTCTAAACCGCTCCTGTCCGGCCGTATCCCATATTTGCAATTTCACCCTCGAGTTGTCGACCGTTACCACCTTGTTCTAAAAATGGAAAGTTAGCATTTGGGTGGAAGCGCGAACGTACAACACACTACACGCACGTGGAATCTTACCCTAAAATCCACCCCGACGGTGGAAATAAAATTTCCCGAGAGAAAAAGTCCATCGCGAAAACGGACCAAAATGCACGTTTTCCCGACGCCTGAATCGCCCAATAGCATTACCTATTACAACCAATAGTTTAATAGATAGACAATGTATAAAAAGTAAAATAACAATATTATAAATTGAACCGGATTAATAGGTATTGATACTAATCAAATGCTCATTTCAATTCATTTAATTCATCTCGTGGGATTCCTTACGGATCAACCCAGCCAGTTTCTGCAACCTGGTCAAAAAATAAATTTAAAAAGAGCAAGTTTTGTGCGTTTAATTTTGTTAAGTAGAATTTTATGTTTTATTTTCATTTGTGGTCGTAGAATAAATTTTGTTTATGTGAAATCATGCGAATCATGCGTGTTTATTCAATCCCTTGAACGATTCAGATAGATGTTTCATGCTAAATTATGATTAATTTTGTTGATCTGTGCCCAAAGCTCATTTCAAGATTTTTCAAAATTCGAAGTTTTGGAGTCTAAGGGGCTTGATCGTGAATCTAGAATTAAAAAAAGTCAAAAGTAGAACAATAAGTCTTAAGATAAAGATCTAGTACTGACACAGCCGTAAGGGGCCGACCGATGGACAGACAGACGAATGGACAGGCAGACGAACAAAGTATCTACGAGAACGAATTTTTTATTTTTTGGAAATGCGCGAAAAAGACAATATTTTTTTATTGCAAGAGTCATAGGCACTAAACTGATTGTTTAAAAAAAGCAAATAGAAAAAGTCGCTTCTAAGATCCATAAGGATTCTGGTTAAAAATATTTTGGTCAGCAAAAATTCATATATATCACTTTCTTTTGTATCGAGCAATCCAGAGTGGTCCTTTTCTCAACAAAATTGGTGATAAATAATGATTTTGACACCTTGGGTAAAACTATTTTCGTCGCTAAAGTAATAAAATTGTTGCATAAGTAACTATTTTGACATCTTTTGGATACAAATATTTTGGTCACCAAAATACACATGGGTCACATTTTGTACATTGAACAATCGGGATTGTCCTTTTTCCCAAGAAAATTGATGCATAAACAACGATTTTGACATCTTTGGGCTAAATTATGCATGGATTAGTTCTTGGGCATCAAGGAATAGTGTTTAGTCTATTCCCCAACAAACTTGATGCATAAATAACGATTTTGATCACTTTTGGAACAACCACGTGATGGGTTCTAAAACTAATGTTTGATAGTTGCACATCTGGAACGCATAAAATATCATATTGAGAAGACCCGAAAGGGGAGGGGGGTTATTTTTTTAATGGCAATCACCACATATTACATCATCAAATTTAAGAGAAAAATGAAATTAAGGAAAATGATTGGATTAATTAATTTAACAATAATAAGAGTTTTAAACTGCGATACCCCAAAAAGGGTATTCTTCACTAATATGCAGAGCTGGGCAGAATACTTTCAAAAAGTGTTTGAATACTAAATAGTAAATACTTTACACAAATCAAAGGTATTTGAAAACTAAATACTTTTACGTCCAGCACAAGCGAATACTAAATACAGATACATTGAAAAGTATTCAAATACTTAAAAAAATAAGTATTCAAATACTTTAGAATGTATTCGAATACTTTCAAAAGTATTCGAATACTTTCAAAAGTATTCTAATACTATCAAAGGTATTCGAATACTATAAAAAGTATTCGAATACTTTGAAAAGTATTTCATTATCTTACTTTGAAAAGTATTCAAATACTTGTCACTCAAATACATTAAAAATTTAAAATAGTATATGGATCCAACTCAAAATTAAAATAGTATACTAGATAAAAGGCTTAATACTACTTAAAAAATCAAGTTATACTTTGTATGGGGTTAGCTTTTTTTATATTTCTATTGTTATATACAAATTTAAGGGGAGTAAACGCGTATTATTATTATTATATTATTATATAGGAGGTACCTACCAGGACCTTTCTTATACCAGTTATACCCTTAAGAATACGTGTACCAGTTTTCAAAGCGATCGTACGTCGTGCACATGATACGTACGCCTTTCTGAAATTAATCCTAGCGATTTTGGAACAGATCCATTTTTGACCATCCGTTTGTCCGGTGCGCATGATAACTTGTTTAGAAACGTGCGATCGCTTTGAAAATTGGTACACATGGTTTTAAGGATATAAGAAAGGTCCCTATTGTTTTTAAGTTACGTAGACTATCGAGTTCGGTATTCAGATGTATCGGATTTTTATATTTGATTTTGTGACAATAGAAATTTTCCCTAAACATTTATAAATTGTTCTCAAATATTTCAATAACTTAAAAGTACTGCCTTTTTTTGAGGCCGGAAAAAAAAATTGTCTGAGATCGAGATCGATCGAGAGTCCATAATTTCAAACAGTTTGAAGATTGGGCTACTAGATCAAAAGTTACAGCCCTTTGAATTTTTTTTTCGAAATTTGTTTTTTGTCCATAACTTTTTATTGAGAGGTCTAATCGAAAAAGTACGAATTGTTTTGGATTCTACGCACCAAAATTAATAAGAAAAAGTGTTTCCCGAGAAATTTTGGTGCAGTCGATTTTTGGTAAAAAAGGAAGGTTATACACTGCCTTTTTTTGAGCCCCGAAAAAAAATTGTCCCAGATCGACCCGGAAAAAAAATTTTCTTATAGAATGTGGCCTGTAGAATCCATAATTTCAAACAGTTCCAAGATTGGGCTACTAGTTCAAAAGTTACAGCCCTTTGAATTTTATTTCGAAATTGGTTTCTAGTCTATAACTTTTGATTGAGAAGTCTGATCGAAAAAGTACGAATAGTTTTGGATTCTACGCACCAAAATTAATCAGAAAAAGTGTCCCAAGAAATTGTGGAATAGTCGATTTTTGGTAAAAAAGGTATGCGAAGATTTCGAATACTTCTCAAAGTATTCAAATACCTTGCGAAGTATTCGAATAGTTTACGAAGTATCCAAATACTTTGCGAAGTATTCGAATACTAAATATTTGTGAAAGTATTGGAGTTACAAAAACAAATACTGCTTCCATAAAAGTATTTAATTACAAAGTATTTGAATACTTTAAAGGATTTGAATACTAAAAAGTATTTACAAAATCGAATACTGCTCAGCTCTGCTAATATGTAATGAAAACTAGTGGTTGCTACTTAAAAAATGTTCCCCTTTTGACCATGCAGAAGTACGCTACTGGCCACAAATTAAAAGTACGTGGATTGCTAGGAAACGTTTTATAATTTTGCGGTTTTATTTTGTGCTAAAGAGTTGGTAAGACAGAATGGTCAAAAGTGTCTTGTATACCAGCTTTTATGTAGGTTTTTTAGCTTACTTTGTTGCTGTTGGGTAAATTGTTGGACTCTAAGAGAAATTTCCCTAAAATTTCCCTGGAAATTTAAGGAATTCGAACTTTTATCAATTTTCCCATCAGTTTGATTTCGAACTTTAGTCACCAATCATGCTGGATATTTTTATTGGCCGATTGGGTTCATGAATAGCCATAACAGGCTTGACTGAAAAGTTGCTAAAATTTTATTGGTTGTACATGTACATCATAAAACGAATGGTGAAGGATTTTGGCACAATTTTCAACCACAATTGGCAACTTTTTAGAAATGCGCGCAAATTTACAAAACAAAGCAATTTTCAAGTAAAACCACCTATTGTTCGGATAGAAGGGACGGAATAGAAATTATAACGGTCAGCTGCACAATCCCAAATTTATTTTCCGGGTAGTAACGACAAATCGATCATTTTTGTTATAAAGCTACCCCCGAGTAGGTTATCAAAGAAATTTACTTTTATGAACGTCCTCTTCCTATCCCGAATAAATAAGACATGTATTCCCTAAGCAAATAGTGGTAGCTTGTCATGTCTAAAAAGATATTGCATTGTTTTACAAACATAATTTAGTACATGATGTGAACTCGTATTTTCAGAAATAACTAAAATGCAGAAATAATGAGAAGACATTCGATTCGAAAGCAAAGTCTGATTTCTATTTTCAACTTTAGCTTTAACGAGCCAATTCTCTTAATATTGGTAAAAATTTGCACATTCAAAGAAAACGTAAGTAATATGTTTTTTGTGCTACAACTTTAAATAAAAATAGAAACAATTTTTCCTTTTGGGAACCGTCGTTTAGTGGAAAAATCTGGCATGCAAAATAGTATAAGCACGTTGTAAGTGCTTTAAAGACCAATTATACACGCGTTTCTTATAGTATTTTATTATACCTTCAATATAATTTAATAATAAGGGAAATAAAATGGAATCATATTGACGTTAAACTCGAATACATTTCTAATTAATTAATTGCCATGGAAATCTCACTTTGTAGTTTACTTATGAAAATCACTGTATTTATAAATAAACTGACTTCGGTTGAAAAAGATAATACACCTTATATTCAGTGGCTTGTTGCAGAAGCAGAATTTTCCAACCCCTACCACATTTTTTCGCAAAAATAAGAATAAAAGACTTTCCGGTTTTTCTAGGAAAATTGGAGGTTATATGAAAATAGTGCAGATACAAAAGTTGCTCATTTTTTTTAATCTCTATAACTTTTGCATTTAACATTTTCGTCTAAAATTAATAGTTTTGCTACAATTTGCAAAACACCACTATCCCCCCTTTCAACCCCCGGGATTTCACCCGCGGAAAAATTCAGCTGTTTTAATTATTTTTTCCCAATTTCTATTCATTTCACCTGCTTAAAAAATCCGGTTTCGCCCGGTAAGTAATTTTTTTTTAAAATAAATTATTTTAGAGCTAGGGAATAGGGAAAACAATAAATCCATATGCCTACTTCTTAATAATTAGCACTGTAAGAGCGGTGAGGCCTACAAATCCAGCTTGACGCTTAATTCCAAGCTAATTAAATTGCTTACAACTTCTATTCTATTTGTTC